GTCCCTAGCTTGTCTGAGTCTGTTTCAATAGTTGTACCTCTTGCACTATATATAGATCAGAGGGGCCATTACTTGTGGCATTTCTCATGAGGAGGGTTTGCTTGTACATACTATGTGTACATGGGGCCATAGTACCTTAGGGGAGCCCTGATACTGTAGTCTAACATATGATGAGCTAAACCTTGAATGGGCAGGACGGAGGGGCTGTGACAGGGAAGTGCCCCAGCAGAAGGCTGGGGAACACAGAAGTGGCCTGGGCAGAGTCAGACGCTGAAACCGACTAGGCCCCTGGGCTGTTCAGGGTGGGAGCAGGCTGGTAATAGGAAGCTGCTCACAGCCACAAGCACAATGGTAGGAGACTCACGTGAGGGGCTGGCGAATGCTGGCCGCATTGCTTGGAATATTCCAGTTATTCTCTGCCAGAATTCAGAGAAGTGGATGCCATAATTTCTCCTTAATTAGTGGGGAAATTGAGTCTCACAGAGGTTACTGCATTGCCAATATGGTACTGCTAATATTTGCAGCATCAGGAGATGAACCCAGCTTTGGTCTCTTCTACAAGGTTAACGGTCTCTCCAGTTTCTTTTGAAATGTTTCTTTGGGTGTGGAGGTAGACCCTGCCTCTGACTTAGTGCGTTCTGTGGAGGCTGCTTCAGTAGGACTTGTCGGTGGCAAGAGGTGGGGGTGGGGGACCACTCTCACAGTGGAGTACAATTTGTGAGGCCAAGACCCTCAGTGGGGCACTCCTGGGATGCCCACTGCTGGGGTCTCTGTGATGGTGACTTTGCTTGGAACTCCATATGAACCTGATCGTGTTTCTGTTTCTTTACACGGGAAGGACGGGAGCCAGGCATGGTGGTGCACTCCTTTAATCCCTGAGCTAGGAGTGTGATGCAGGAGGATGTCACAAATTGGAGATAGGCTGAGCTCCATAGCTAGACCTAGCTCAGTGAAGCCTGGCATTGTATAACAGAGGCCCCATGTTCAAGCCCCAGTACTCGCCAATGAGGTGACAGCAGCAGCGCCCTGCTTGACCTTCTAACCTCAAATATGAAAATGTGGTCAGGACCCAGGCAATACGTATCAGGGAATGGTATGAGGCACCAGATCTCCCCAGCCAACTCATCCGCACCAGGACTTTCTGAGGTGTCCACTGACTCCCCGTTTTTATCTGTGAACTGAAGGTTTGCAATTCGCCACCACAAAGCCCCCTCCCAATTCTAAGACTTCAGGAACCTGAGTTTGTAGTGCTGCTGCCTCTGAGCCTCTGTGACCTCCGCTCAACCTTGCACCTAGTAAGCACTTGCTGAGCCAGACTCCAGATTAGACGTTTCTCAGAGGGCAAAGTAATTCCCCAGTGGGGTTTGTACACGCCCCTGAAGTGACCAGTTCCTGCTGTCCATGGGCTCTCAGAAAACATCCACTCAGTGACAACGTTTGTCATTTTGTCGTAGAAGTGGGTAAAACAGCAAGTCTAGGAAGCTGTGAAGGGAGCTAACCCAGCCTCACGTAACACTAGAGCCCACAGCAAACACTCCCCCACCCCTCGCCAACAACCCAACCTCGATTTCTAGCTCCCAGCGGTTGGTGAGGCTGTCCTAGCCAGGGCACTGAGCCCGCCAGGTTATTATAGCCTGCTCACCTGCCACCAAAATCTTAAGATCTTAAGGAGGCTCTAGGGGGTCGTGTACAAATCCTACCTCCCAGCCTCAGCCTTTATAAAGGAGCCTGAGGAGAGGTGCCCTGCTCTACTGGAGCCTTCAGGTCTGTCCAGAAGGGCTCGCGGGGGCGGGGAGGGGGGCGGGAGCGGGGGCGGAGGGAGGGTCCGGCGGGGGACGGGGGAGGGGCAGCTCTAGATGTTCTCTCTCAGTCCTCAGCTGCCACCACTCTGCTGCTGCGGAGCACACTGCTTCCTGCATGAGCTTCATAGCTAAGCCTCCTCTCTCCATCATACCTGAGATCCTCCCGCACTCTTTCTTAATTGCTCGTTTCTCCCAGTATTTCCACGAAATCTCTCACACTCATCGCTAGTTCTCTCTAGCCCCAATCCCCCTCCTTCCCTTTCGTCCTTCTCCGGCCCTCCTCCTCTTCCACGCCTCCCTTGCTGCTTAACTGGAAACAAAAGTGAGTTTGTTTTGTGGGGAAGAGGACAGTGGAGGAGACCGCAGCCAGGGTAGCAGCCACAGAAACAGACTGGGGCCAGAGGCAGCACCAACCACCGGAGACTCCAGCACTCAGCTGTTCCAGGGAGCAGGTACTGCCCAGACAGGCTGGTGATCCCATAGACCCCCGCCCTGTCAGTGCTTTCTAATCTGCTATCTCTTAAAGATCTGTCCATTTATTTATCTTTTCCTGGCCTTGAAGGATGTGGAAGATTGCAGATTTATAAGATATGGGATAGAGGCCCAAGGGATGGTATGGTCCTCTGTGTGGTCTGATGTGGCTGGGCTTGGGCGAGCAGAGTGAAGGATGCACCAGGCGAGGTCCAGATGGCTGTCGATGGTTTGAACCATATCACCAACCCCAAGCTTTAGGTAATGAAGAGCCACCCAAGGCTCTTCAACTGGAAATCCACAAGAGCAGATCTACACTTGAGTTGCTGTCAGGCTAGGGCCGTATCTCCGTGGTGGAGTGCTTGCTAAGAGCAAACAGGTCCTGGGTCTCATTCCCAGCAAGGCAAAACCAAACAGAGCAATAGCTACTGTACTGATCCCATAGGGAATTGGTTTATTTCTTCAGAATCAAGGAGCCATAGCCTTCTCCCAATTTGAAGGAAGAAAGAGAAAAATGATGAAGTTTTTGTTTGTTTTAGGTTGGTTATTTGTTTGTTTGTTTGTTTGTTTGAGAGATGGGATCTCTCTTTGTAGCCCTGGCTTTCTGGAAACTCAGAATGTAGACAAACTGGCTTCAACCTCAAAGAGAACCCTCTGCATCTGTCTCTCAGGCGCTAAGATTTAAGGTGTATTGGCATAAAGGCACTATGCCTGCACAGATGACTTTCTTTTTTAAATGAAATTTCCTTAAACTTAATAAGCCCATGAAATACGTTTAAAACAATAGAAACATCTCAAACTCAAATACGTTTAAGTCAATGGCGTCCATTGTGGATTTGTATCCACAGAAGTTACCAGCACCTTTTTGCCCGGAAAATTGTTTCTGTCCTGCATGGATTGCATGGAGGGTGTGTGGAGGAAGGACTCTTTTGCCCCGAGGGTGGCTGGCGGCAGGGCACAGGCTGGCAGCAGGGCACAGGCTAGCAAAGAGGAATCTAGTGGTCTTCTCACCTGGACACCTTTATTTCCTTCTAGAAGTGGGATAGAAACTGAAGAAGCTTACAGAGAGGACTAAAGCTCAGGGCTGGCTCTGAGGGACACAGAAAAGGTGCAGACAAGGCCAAGCAGAAGGTTCCACAGTCAGAGGCTTTCTTCCACAGGTGCTGAGCCTGGATCCTGGGGTTTGTGATAAGGGGCAATAAGGGCCTTCTGCAGTCTGAGCTGTGTGCCAGGGGTATCATCCTCGTGTATAAGCGGCAACTGTGTGACTCATGTCCAGGTGGACTAGAGGCACACTGTGTATCCTACCTCTGGGACTCCAGGACACATCAGAGATGAAGATAACCATGGTGAATGGGTCCTTGTCTGGGTGCTGCCGAATGCCTGGCTCTACCAGGAAGTTTCAAGGGAGAGGTTACAAGGTTTGAATGAGTTCTTCAAAATACTGACAGTGAAGGACCAACTGACCTATAATTGAAGGCAGAAGTTGGAGAAACTGAAGAGATAAGAGACTCAGGGAAGTGGGAACGCTTTATGAGGTCAGTCTCGGGACAACTGGTGAGAGATCGAGTCAGGGGCTGAAGAGGAAGGAATAGTCTGGAAAACACAGAGATCAAGTCAGGGGCTGAAGAGGAAGGAATAGTCTGGAAAACACAGAGATCGAGTCAGGGGCTGAAGAGGAAGGAATAGTCTGGAAAATACGGAGTGGTGAGAGATCGAGTCAGGGGCTGATGAGGGAGGAATAGTCTGGAAAACACAGAGGAGATGGGGGGGTGGAGACAGAGGAGCCCAGGGATGCCCTTAGGCAAGGCATGGGTGTCACATCATCTCTCTGGCCGCCTCCAGGTGCTGCAGCCACACTGCCCGTTCCCACCACAGGTACACTTCCTCCCGGTGTGTGCAAGTCACAGTTCAAATGCCATTTTCAGAGGGGCTTTGTGACCAACATACTCTCTATAGCTTCCTGTTTCCCCTGGTTGTTTTGTCTTTTTTTTCAGAGCCCTCACCACTGCCCCAAATGGTTGTTTGTGGATTTGTTTACTTCCTCATTTCCCACTTGCCATAGCGAGCACGGGGATCATCCTCACAGTTTTATTTCCCAGTACCAAGAACGATGCCTGGCACGGAGTTGGCAGCCACTAGACAATGAGAAGAGGGAGGGAGTAGGAAGGAAGTGCCTGAGGAATATTCAGGGGGTGGCTTCTGGAAGGCCACTGGTGAGGAGGCAGGACACCCAGGAATCAGGCCCATCTCACCAGTGAGGAAAGCCCACAGGACACTCTAGCCCAGCCTTTTCACGGACCGGCTGCCTCCTCATGACCGCTGACTGGCTTGGGACCCAGTGGAGTAAGAGAGAATTCTAGACTTTTGTGCAGAATGAAGTTGGGTCAGGGTGTTCTGCATTTCACTTTCCTGTTCCTAACCCTGCCGCTGCTGCTGTGGCTTTGGCCATTTCCCAGCCTTCACTGTCCTTTATAAAATCCTGGAATCTAAACACAGACCAAATTCTGTCTTACCTCAAAGACTAACACCTGCACCCAGTCCAAAGGGACAAGAGGTCAGCTGACCCAGGAAATGGACTGAGCCTTACAGAATGGACAAATACCCCGCCCCTTGCCCGGGTGCCTGCTCCGATCCTGTGGGCCTTGGGCCGTCCTGCCCTCTGCTGGGCACTCGGCAACTCCTTCATTTTTTCAGGGTCTCCAGCTGCTGAGCAGCTGCAGGACATCCTGGGGGAGGAAGATGAGGCTCCCAACCCCACCCTCTTCACAGAGATGGACACTCTGCAGCATGATGGGGACCAGATGGAGTGGAAGGAGTCGGCCAGGTGAGAGGAGTGGAGCCCGGATGGAGGGGGCGTGGTGAGGGGGGCCGCATGGAGGGGGCATGTCTGGGGCCTAGGCTGGGCTGCATCTCCCGCTGAGAAAGTGGTGTCATAGCTTGAGTTCTGTGCGGGGAGCATCTCCATTGATGAGCACCTTCCCAGATGCCGTTTTTGGTGTCTAGAACTGTAAACAATAAGAAACAAACATAAATGACTGTTGTTATTGTCAAAGAAATAGCTCTTCAGAAGCCGAGGGGCTAGCTCAGTTGACAAAGTGCTTGTTTGGAGAAACAAGGTCTCCAGAATCCATGTAAAATAAGCTGGCCATGGTGCTGTGCACGTGTAACGTCGGTGGCAGCCTGGGGGTGAAGATATGCCCACTCCAGGAGCTGTGGCCAGCCAACCTAGCCTAACCAGTGAGAGAGTCTCTCTAAAACATGGCTGGCAGAACCAAGGAACAAGCTTGTCCTCTCATCTCACACACATGAATAGGCAGGCACACACACACACACACACACACACACACACAGAGAGAGAGAGAGAGAGAGAGAGAGAGAGAGAGAGAGAGAGAGAGAGAAAGAGAGAGAATATGATGGAATAGTGACCCATGAGACCCTGGGCAACTATAAGGCCACATATTCTTTAATGTCAAATGGTTCAAACTACATGCTGTAGAAGGAAGTGTTCCCGTCTGGCAGGAATACACAGGGAAGACTTCCTGGAGGAAGAAGGGGGTGTAAGTCTGAATGGCAGGAGAAAGGCCTAGGCTTGTCTTTCTCAGCTGAGTTTGGACAAGCAGAGTGGGCTACAGAGGTAGAGCCATGGAAGAAAGCAGGAGGGTATAAGGAACTGGCTCAGTGGATAAAGTCCTAGCTGGGCAGGGATGAGAACCACAGCTTGGGCCACTAGAATCCATGTAAAAGCCAGACAGGAATAGTGACTGCCTGTAATCTCAACACTCAAGGGGCAGAGACAGGAGAACCCCAGGACAAGTGACTACCTAGACTAGCCAGAATCTGTGCACTCAGCTCTGGGTTAAGGTTCTCAATAAACAGAATGGAGAGCAATTGAGGAAGACCTCAGATGTCAACTTCAGGCCTACAAACACATGTACACGCATACACATACACACATACACACACATACACATACATGCACACTTTTATATACACATATACACATGCACATACTCATACACTTACACACACATACTGATACACACATGCATGTACACACATATGCACATATACACACACACACACACTCATACACATACCACACAAGCATCCACATGCTCCAAACAAGAGGGCGTAGAGAGAACTCCACGTGCATGGAAGGGAAGGAGGAGGAAATCCATCCAGGTTAGTGGAACTGCATGGTGTGACGTCAGGAGAGGAAGTTGGGTCTGAGAAACATTTGTGCTGTGACTGGGACAGAGGGACCTCTGAACCAAACAGAACAGTTTAGTGGTCCCACATGCTCCCCAAGACCTAAGAAGCAGGGAGGAGGGGACAGCGGGGGAGACTTCCAAGGACTGCTCAGAGCTGGAAGAATGTGTCTCAGATTTTGCATGGTCAGTTACAACCCTCCTTCCTAGAAAACTAATAATTTTGTGTGTGTTTTGTTTCTTTTTTTTTTTTTTTCTGAGACAGGGTTTCTCTGTGTAACCTTGGTTGACCTGGAACTCACTCTGTAGACCAGGCTGGCCTTAAACTCAGAGATCTACCTGCCTCTGCCTCCTAAGTGCTGGGATTAGAGGTGTGAGCCACCACTGCCTGACAAGTAATACTTCTTTTAACCTCCATCCAGGAGGGATGTGTTTGTAGGTGAGTGTGTTTTCCTGTCTTGAGGCACACATACGTGTGTGTGTGTGTGTGTGTGTGTGTGTGTGTGTGTAGTACCAAGCTTAATACCAGGAGTCTTTCCTCAATTGTCCTCCACTTTTTATTCTGAGACAGGCTCTCTCTCTTGTATCCAGAGTTTACCTATTCAGCTAGTCCGACCAGGGTAGCTCTCTAGCTTGCTCTACCTCCCTTGCCTGGAGACAAATGAGTCACATTCACCTGGCTTTTACACGGTGCTGGAGATCTAGTCTTTACACCTGAATGGCAAACACTGCACCTACTGAGCCATCTCTCCATGCAGGAAAAAACATTTTGATTTTATTAAATTAAAATCCAGGCTATGGCTGTGGCTCAGTTGGTAAAATATGTACATAGCACACAAGGTCCTTGGTTTGATCCCCACCACCACATAATCCAATCGTGGAAGCATACCCCTGAAACCACTGCACAGAGGAGGTGGAGGTAGGAAGACCAGAAGTTCAAGGTCCTCTTCAGCTATGTAAACTGTTTAAGGCTGGCATGGAATACCTGAGACTCTGTCTCCAAACAAAACAAAACAAACAAAACACGATTAAATTAGAATTAAATCAACTGATTTCCATAGAGAGATATTGGATACTAAAGCAGTAGTTTTTAACATTCCTACTGCTGAGACCCCCTCTAATCCAGTTCCTCATGTTGTGGTGACCCCGACCATAAAATTATTTTCATTGCTACTTCATAACTGTAATTTTCCTACTGTTATGAATTATAATGTAAATATCCTCTATGCAGGATATCTAATATTTGACCCTTATAAACTAACTCCCAGCAGTGCCCAGGACAGGGTCTGCGTGGGAGGACTCTGACACCAGGAGTCTGATAGCTCCCTCCGTGGCCTGGATAGTCGCTAGACAAAGGCAGGAGCGTGTTTCCACATTTCAGATCTCTCTGCCCCTTCTGTGCTGCAAAGGCATCTGGAAGAAGGGCCATTAAGAGGAATAATGTCCTGCAGGCCTCAGGGAGGAACCAACCAATCAGCCTCACAGCCCACATTTGTGCCCAATCCCCCCATGCAGGCCCAAGAGCCTCTTCTCATTCGTGGTTCACTGAACTCCAAGTGTGCTGAGACTGCAGGCTCACCCCGCGCACAGTGATCCTGAGAAGGACAGAGCTGAAATCTGGCTTCATAGAAGGGGTGACATGCAGAAGAACTTGTAGCTTGCCAAGGGCCAGAGATATAGGAAGTCGAATCTGGATTGTCCCCTCAGGCCTGTTTTGGCTTTCAGGGAAGACCTAGGGCTGATGGCAATTCTTTTGTAATTGGAGCTAAATACTCACAGCTGCAGAGCCTGGGACCTCTAACCAGGGCTCACAAGATGGGAAAGGCCAGTTCAAACGGGCCAGAGCTCAGCCTGGAGTACTGTGGTTTATCACCTCTGAGAGGGAGGGCTCTGAGCCAGTCTGCCCTAGGCATGGTCTCTTCCACTCAAGGTGTGTGAATAGAGAAGAAAGCTTCTGGGAGGCCGGGGAGAGACCGAATGCCTTCTCCCTTCCCTGGGCAGAGAGAGTACTCACCCCAACCCCTGCCTTCACTGACAATGTGTGCCTTCAATCCCAGCACTCCAGAGGCAGAACAAATAGATCTCTGTGAGTTCAAGGTCAGCCTGGTCGACACCTTAGCAAGCTCCAGGCCAGTTAGGACTGCACAGTGGTACCCTGTTGTAAAACAAAACAAAACAAAACAAAACAAAACAAAACAAAACAAAACAA